GAGGCAGTGGTAATAGGGCGACGAAAAGGCCCAAATAGTCGTGGCAGCTCGATAATTAGGCGAACCAAATCATCGTACACTTGCTTCTCCTGGAGAATCATCACAATCTCTCGGGACAAGGAAGCCTTCCATATTAGATCGGTTAATCCGACCAGAAGAGTTTCATGCAACACACCGAGAGTCTGCTCCCGCTCTTTCTGTTCTGCAGTCCTTTCTCCGCGTGGATTCTTCATATTGCTCACCTTCTGCATTGAGAAGTTAATCTTCTGATGCTGTCCTGTGACTTTCGCCTCAGCGCGATCACGACCTCGAAGAAGGGAATTGGCAAAGCCGTCCTCATCAAAAGACTGGCCACGTGCCATGCAGCCTATGTGGATGCTGTCCAATGCTCCGTTGGCATTCTTCAGCTCCCAACGCAGCATTCGCACAATCGTGTCCAGTCCATTCATTTTTCGTATGCCCTCACGAATGGCCCGCTCGTTGGCGCATTGAGCCAATGTAAGCGTGCATGGCAGTTTAACGGCTAGAGTAGAGTTTTGAAGCAAATCTAGCAGATGAGGCAGAATTCCCTCGGTTAGAATGGCAATGCGAAAGTAGGCATCCACACAACATGCTTGCAGCGTCGACATGATGTGTTCGAGAATGTCGCTGCGAGCCAATGGAATGAGGACTGCGAAGACAGACACTATCCCAGTCTGCCGTAACGCCAGCCTACCTTCGGCGTTTTTGGAGACAGCGCACAATATCACACCAAGCACCCTCAATAAACTGTCCGTCATGCGTCGATTGGAATCGACCTGCTGTTTTAGGCGATTAATTTTTACCCTCAGATCGTTTTCAGGGCTCGTGTTAAAAGCCAATGCCATCCTCACTTTACGCTCATAGTCGGTGTGCATTGTGACAATCTTTTTGGTGTTCTCGTTCAGGAGACAGACGATAGGTTTAATGGCATCCATGCGAGCCAGTAGGACACGAACCTTCTTGAGGACGCAAAGGTTGCCTATAATGCGTCCTGCAGAGCGTTTCATGTGGATGTTGGGGTGGTGGAGGTTGTTAAGGAGTGGTCTCACACCACCCAAATGAACAATGAGACGGGCGAAATAGATGAAGGTGGATGCTTTGTCGAGCACACGCATAGCAGCAATCTGAACAGGTGGATCGTCCACAGAGAGGAGATTCAACAGTAGCGTGGTGCAGTGTGAAGCCTCAAAGGCCTGCGCAACCTCCTTCGAGCGTAAATTCATGTGCCGAATATAGATGAGGGTGATGAGAGTGCCCTGACGGTTAGTAGCGAGGAAGTAACGGAAGTATTTGAGGAATTGCAAGTAGGTAAATGTGATACGCGACTCTCCGTGGTTGAGCAAAATGGACTCTGCGAATTCCATTCGCCGAACCTCTTCCTCCTCTTCCTCCGAACTTACTTCCTCCAGTGTTATCGCTGATCCTACTACGTCCTTAATTGCGCTTCCTGTCTTCCCATCCCTGAGTCCAGCCTGCCATCGTTTATCATCTTCCTTCTCCCCCCCTCCAGCATGATGGACTGACAGATTTCGAAAGTCCTCGCGTTCTGCAGCTCGTCGGCTACGGGAAACCGTATCCTGAAAGTCGCCCAGAAGGACCCGATGATTGATGTGGGCCTGAATCCCATTTGCATCGTGGATGACGGGACCGCGAGGCGAGACAGGAGCATCGAGGCGCAGCAAGGAGTTGACTATTCGTCGGCCACCCTTTCCCGGTGATCTCTGCTCTGCAGTGCGGGTAGGTCTTCGAAGGAAGAACTGTGAAACGATGCTCATTACAACCCGCTATGGCAGAGGACAGAGTCACAGCTGACAAATTCAATAAGCTACCCAAAGGACGACTGTAAACAGGGAATTCCGTTAAGTTTAAATTTAAAATCGCACCTCAAATGTTAGGAAAGTCACCAGTATACAGGGACAAAAATGCACCTGAATACGCCTTGCATGTGGAAGATTAATGCAAACCACGCTTGTGCATGATCGAACTGCATCACTCCTCAGGGCTGAGGCGACATGCTGGTGTCCCACAAAACTTGGCCAGCCTACGAACGTGCCTCACTACGGGAGCACAAAACGCCTCTTCCCAGCGGCGAAATGACAGAAGAAAGATGCATTGTAAATGTCACCCTTCAATAATGCTTTGCTTTGACAACTAAGAAGTTGAGACAGGGAAAGTGACAGCAAACTAAGATGCACCGAGAATTAAGTCCATAGCATGCAATCCAAATATGCAGCATTGGCGGCACTAATGAAATGGACTGATAATTTGTTGAAATAAGCAAGTGCTTTGACGTCTGCATGTCGTACTTCAACTCGGTGACATTGGATATCTTTGTGCCACTTGACCACTCCCTGCCCCATCCTAATACACGGCCACTTAACTGATTTCGATGGAGATACGATGCGCGCGATCCTGCATCAATGGATGATTCTCTTGGTCACTTCGACTCTCAAGATTCACCTACACAACCTACGCAGACGCACCTTCGATGTTAATACTCGATACGCTTCCTCTGCCCATATCACCCGTCCTCCGGTTCCGTCTTCGCCAGTGGTCATATACACTCCGTTCCTTTACCTATCTACAGTTGATGCTCCCGCATGCCTCAGCTGTGAGAGCAGACTCGTCAGCTGCCAACTTCGAATTGTGCATTCTCAAGTCTCAGACGTTGCGCTAATGCCGCGACCTCCCTTCCAAGTACTGAGAGGAAATTCAGCGTATGTCTCCCCATCAGGGAAGCACGGCCCAACAGTCTTGGATACCCAAATTTTGCAGTTAGAACAAAAGACCTTGCGCATGGGCTTAAAATTCCATTAGACTCTGAATCCAATAGCC